CAGTCTTTATAATACAATACAAACTTTAGGTACATTTAGCAGCAGACCAAGCTTTCGTAATGTGGTCTCTCACAAATTGTGGCCATTGCAGGTGGTTCATTTTGGCTAATCGGCTACTGTAGAAGCGTAACCCCATCAGCCATCAGGCACATATCAACTTATAAAATTAATATGTTTGTATGTATTTTAAATTTTATTCTACTTCATTTATAGCCCACCTTTCTAGCTGGCACTCAAAGGTGCATTGCAAAATACAGAAGACAATTCAATCAGACAAGAAAGGCCTCCAATAAACCATGGAGTAGAACTAGGATTTTGGAACAGGGCAATGTAGACAAAACTTCCTGAAGACTTCCGGTCTATGGATTGGCGATGGCAGTCGCTCTCCTCAGAGCTTGGGGAGGCGATTAGCACACCTCAAGTGGCACTCCCACGGAGCCTTTGTGAAAGGCTCCAGGCCAGAGAGCTTTTGAGGGATAACCTCTTCGACGGCTTGCTGCCGGAGAATTGAGGGTTCCCTCCGCTCTGACGGTCCTGCTGATGAGTGGCCTTAGGGCACAAGCTAACCCGACCGGGACAAGTGGGGGAGGCCGAGTGGAACAACGATTGATGTGAGCGAGGTCAGCAAGATGACCAACAATGAACGTGAGTTCTAAGTAAACGTACTTTGATAAATGGCACCCCCCCGGGAAAAGCGGAGCGCAAAGAGGGACGCCTCTGAAGCGCATGGACAGATAAATCACAGCGAAGGGGGAGTGGGAGGAAAAAGACAGCGTGTGTATTTTGAGAGTCTTAAAAAGGTAAAGGTAAAGGTTCCCTTGCTCGAAAGCCAGTCGAATCCGACTCTAGGGTTGCGGTGCTCATCTCCGTTTCAAAGCCAAAGAGCCAGCGCTGTCCGAAGACGTTTCCGTGGTCATGTGGCCGGCATGACTAAACACCAAGGCACACGGAACGCTGTTACCTTCCCACCGAAGTGGTCCCTATTTATCTACTTGCAATTTCTTGCTTTCGAACTGCTAGGTTGGCAGGAGCTGGAACTAGAGACAGGAGCTCACCCTGTCTTGCGGCACCCGGGTCTTGAACCGCTGAACTACTGACCTTCCACAGCCTGCAGTTCAGCGTCTTAACCACTTGAGCCACCGCAAAAAAGCGAATTGACGAGTACTTCGAGCCCGGGAGAAGCGGTTTGAAAGTGTAAACAAATTTGAAAAATGGCGGCGCCTTGAGGAAAGTTTAAAGCCAAGCCTGGAAGTCAGAGTCGGAGGCCCAACGAGGAAGCTGACGTCATGAAGCTGTTAGCGGATATGCTCAAGCCAGTGATGAATCAGCTCGATGGTATTAACCAGCAACTGACCTCGTTAAATCAAAACTTCACTTTACAACAGCGTCAGCTGGCAGAAACGGGAAAAAAAGTGGAGCTGGTGGCTGAGAAAGTTACAGAGATGGACACCTCAAGCAAGAAGATGAAGAAATGAATGGGTGAAGTTGAAACGAAACAAAATCTCCAAGAAGATCGTTTGTTGCAGCTGCAAATGGAAAAGGCTAATATGATTCTCAGGTTCCAGGGGGTTCCTGAGACAGAAAAAGATTTGAAAAAGACTCTGGGTGAGATTATCGCTCCAGTGCCAGGCTTGCCAGCAGAGGAAATAATAAAAGATATGGAGACAGCCTATAGGGCATACTCCTATATTAAAAAAATAGCCTGCCTGGAGAGATTGTGGTGAGATTTGCAAGAAGACAGACCAGAGATGCCATACTAAAGGCAACTTCAGCAACTCCACTGAAACTTGGGAATACAGTTATTAAGACTTTAAAAGACACTCCATTTGAAATTCGTCAGAAGAGAAAGAGCTATAAGGATTTAATTTATTTCCTTCAAACAAACGGAGTACAGTACAGGTGGGGGATCCCTGAAGGTGTCAACATTAAAATCAATGATCGAAGGGAGAAGATAGACTCCATCTTCAAAGCCAAAGAATTTTTGAGATGTCAGCTGGGATGGGGGAAGAATCTAAGGAGGAAGAAACTAAGTCAAGTGACTCAGCTGCCTTGGGAGTGGATGAGGACTCTCCAGCAGAAGCAGGTGCGGGAGCAATGAAAACTGTATAAGATTTTAGAGACAGAAAGTCGAAGTAAGGGCAAGAGGACTCTGATAAATGGCCTCCAGCACACACATTTTTGTCTTCGCTCAGGAAGAAGGGCCCCAGAGCAAACTAATTGATGCAGGAGCCACACCGCCCGCTCACAACTTTAATACCAGGGGAGCCCACCGGGCGGGCGGGGATTTGTGCATCGCTGTCGTCATGGAGATCCCGCATGGAGACCCCCCAACCCCTCCCTCCCCCTTTATCCCGTTCGAAAAACGGCCGTTCCTGAAGCCGGGCTGGCGCCACCTGACGCCGAACAGCCCCCAGAAGCCTCCTCGCCAAAGCCCCTCGAGGGGGGGCTTCCCCCCGCCCCCCTACAATCTCGCAATGCTTTGTGGGAAGTCGCCCGTTAAACGAAACGCGGCTCGGGGGGAAAATCGGCGGGGGCCTTCCGACCAGGCGGACCATAGAGACCGGAGGAGACCAGAGCGGCGCGTCGTCTTGGAAGCCGACGGAAAGGCGATCCGATCTGTTCCGCTCCGGCTCGTCTGTCCCTCCTTCCCCTCAAGGCGGGGGGTGGGGCGAAGAAAAGGCCGCGCCTTCCTGTCAGATCTCGCGTGACGCGGCGGGAGCGGCGGCGAGGGGGGGCGCGCGCGCGCTTGTCAACGCGAGAGCGCGTGGGCGGCCGCGGCGCGTGCGTGTCGCGTGCGTCCTGCAGTTTCCCGGCCTCCCCCGCGCGCGCGGTCCCTCCTTCGCTCGACCCCTTCCTCCCCCCGGCCCCCCCCCTCTCCCAGCCGGTCTCCCTGTGAAGACGCCAAAATGGCGGCCAGTAACTACTACGGGTTTGCAGCCGGCGCCGTCGCCGGCCCTCAATACAGGTAACGAGGGAGGCGGTGTCGCCCTGAGTTCGTGAGGCCGGGAAAGGGCTTCAGAGGCTCGCTGGGTGGGTGGGTGCGTGGTTCGGTCGGGAGGGGAGGGCGAGGTTTAAGGGTGGCCCGGCCTGAGTGGCGGCGGCGGCGGCAGCGACAGCCCTGCGAGGTAGGCTGCTTCGAAAACTAGTCCCCCCCTTCTGTGGCACACGGGGGCGGGGCCGAGTGGGCGAGCCGTCAGATTTGTGGCACCTTTTCGAGCACGCCGAGCCTGTAAGAACATGAGAGAACCCAAATGTTGGATCAGGCCAATGGCCCATCCAGTCCAACACTCTTCTGTCACACAGTGGCCAAAAATACCAGCAGGAGGTCCAGCAGTGGGGTCAGGATGCTAAAAGCCCCCCCCCAGCACCAAGAAGACAGAGCATCCCTGGCCCCAGACTGAGAGTTCCTATCTGTATCTTGTGGCTAATAGCCCCTGATAAATACCAGGGGCCATCAGGAGGTCCAGCAGTGGGGCCAGGACACTAGAAGCCCTCCCACTGTTGCCCCCCTCCCCCCAGCACCAAGAAGACAGAGCATCCCTTGCCCCAGACATAAGAACATAAGAGAAGCCAATGTTGGATCAGGCCAATGGCCCCTCCAGTCCAACACTCTGCCACACAGGGGCCAAAAATACCAGGTGCCATCAGGAGGTCCAGCAGTGGGGCCAGCTTCTGCGAGGAAGACCACAGTTTATCTTAATCACCTGTCTAGATTTATAAGCAGTGCTGGGGAGATGATGTGAAATAATTTCAAGCAGCCCATGTCAGAGGTTTTAAGCCTTTTCCTGGGATTCTCTTCGAAATCACAGGGTACCTCCTGTGAAGTAGACCAGTGCATTGACACTTATTATTCCTCTATTTACTTCATTTATTCTCCCTTTTTCACAATGGTGGCCTCCTATAAAGTATGGATAGTTGAGCATATGCCCAGCAGTGTTCCCTCTAAGCTGAGTTTGTGTGAGCTAGCTCACTGTTTTTTAGCCTCCGGCTCATGCATTTTTGCCTTAGCTCAGGATGGAAGGAGGGCTCCAGAGCAAACTAATTCATGCAGTTTATGTGGTAGTTTAAGGGGTGTTCTCACATGTATTATGTTGGTTAATCATGACAAGGCAAGATAGTATTTTAGTCATTTCCATTGCTCCTCCATCCTGTCTGGGATGGGTAAGTAGGAGGAGCACTGTCGACGTTATCTTCTTGTAATCTTGACAACAGCCCTGCTGGGTAGGCTTGCACTTTTATAATCCCCACTGTACCTGACATTGTTAGGAGGATGCTGAGTTAAGGTCAAGCTTGTAAGTGTGATAAGGCATGCTTCAGGAGCTCAGAGGACCTTACATAGTCTAGTGGGCATCATTATGTCAGCCCTGCAAGGTAGTCTAAGATTGCAATGATAGACAAATTACGGGGAGCACCCCTTCCTGGTTGTGGGTAGTGGATTAAACTGAAAAGTAGTCTTCTATAGATATAACACCATATAATCCTAGTAGCATGTTGAGTGCTTTGCATATATATATTCTCCTTACAACACCCTTGAAAGGTAGGCCAGGATTAGAGGTAACACCCTCCGCAGATTATGCATGGGATGATGATGAATGAATGAACTTCTGAACACTTCATGGGTTGTAAAAAGTTTGCATACATTATTCTGAATATCCTCACAACCAGCCCTCTAATATAGTCCAGCATGATGATAAACTTTTCTGTATGGACCGAGCTGAAGCAGAAAGGACAAACAGCCCCTTAGAGCAAGTTTTTAAAGTGTTCAAACTTGTTGTGTATATTTATGTTTTTAAACAAATAGATTGCCTTCATAGTCCGCACAGCACGTGAGCACGTTCAGCCTGTTTATCTACTACTACATTGCAAGAGGGACTGGGAATATGCTGAGAGAAGGGGCTGAGAGAATAAGTCTCCCGATATTTCTAGCATGTTTAGAGGGCTTGGTGTAGGAGATCTCCTAATCTTTCTCTGACAGGTAGCTCAGCTTAGAGTGCTAGGGTCAGCGATGCTGAGACTGAAAAGTAGAGCTTGCTTGCTTGGGTGAGTTTATGCTAGGATGTAGTAGGACGGCCCTGACCTGGACGGCCCAGGCTGGCCCGATCTCGCCAGATCTTGGAAGCTAAGCAGGGTCGGCCGTGGTGAGTTTTTTTGGATGGGAGACCTAGAGATGTGAAGGTCCGGGAAAAATTCGGGGGGAAACGTTTTTCCCCTGTTTTTTCCCTGAAGCCTTTTTTGGTTTTTTTCTGAAAAATTAGAAAAATTGAAAAAAGAAAAAAAATTAATTATGGAACGTTTTATTTTAACATGATGAATAAAATACTTTAGGACAAGGTGTTCAAATATTTTCCAAATCATTTCTAAAAAATATGTATGGTATCAGATTGATCTAATTTCTGTGCACTGAGGACAAGCAAGTCCTAGGTGACAAACTGAACTCTCCGATGCAAGAACAAGATGCATTTCTTCCTTTAGGAGGTGCTATTGTCACAAGAGAATACACAGGTTTTGTTTTTGCATGTGGGTATTCTGTTTGTAATAATTGTTTGGATACACTATATTTTGAATATGCTAGTTGTGATAATTTCATGCCAAGTAAAAATGTCCATAGTCATATTTTATGTTCTTAAAGTAATAGAATGACTTTCAGTCTGGAAAAGAAAAAAGGAAGTGCTAATGTAGCTTTTTCTTTCTTTAATTTTTCCGAAAATTTCTGTTTCCCCCCGAAAAAAACGGGTTTTTTTCCAAGCTTCAACATTTCCGGAAATTTTACGTCTCTAGGGAGCCTTCCAAGGAATACCGGGGTCGTGATAGATGCAGGCACCGTCACACCACCTCTAAACGTCTCTTTGGGGCTGCCATAAGTCAGTTGTGACTTGATGGCAAAAAAGCCCAACAACCACCACAAAAACCTGGTAGCACGATCACAGCAGGGATCTGTTCCGAGAGCTTCTTATTCCGCTCTTTCTCTTGTACCATCTCGTCCTGACGACTATTTGTATGGTACCAGCTCTGTGTCAGGTGCAGCACCGAATATTATTCAGGCTATTTTGTGTCCTGTCTCTCTAAAAGTCTTGCCACTTTGGCGTAGTGGTTAAGTGTGGGGACTCTAATCTGGGAGAACCGGGTTTGATTCCCCACTCCTGCATATGCAGCTGCTGGCATGACCTTGGGTCAGTCACAAGTTCTCTCAGAGCTGTCCTCTCAAGAATAGTTCTGGAAAGAGCTCTCTCAGCCCCACCTACCTCAGAGGGTGTCTGTTGTGGGGAGGGGAAGGGAAAGGAGTTTGAAAGCCACTCTGTGACTCCTTTGGGTAGTGAAGGGCGGGGTATAAATCCAATCTCCTCCTCCTCCTTCCCCAACATAGCATTTAATCAGGGGCTCCCGAGCATCTAGAGTGTTTCACGGACATTAGTTCATTAATGATTATGATGGCCCCACTGGATGTGCGAATATCATTCCCCCCATATAGTAGTGGGGCGCTGAGGAAGAGCATCTCTGGCTCTGCTTGTGGCCCACTAATCAAAGAAGCTCATCTGGCGGGCCTTTTCAGTGGCAGCCCCCAAGGGTATGGAACAACTTCTCCAGGGAGGTGCTCCCGGCCTACTTACTTTCATTCTTCAGGAAGAATGCTGAAGACAGTTTTATTTAGGACTGCATTGGACTGATTTAATTTTTTTTTTGGGTAGTCCTAATTGGAGATTTTAAAACTGTGGTATTTGATGTGTTTTTCTAATCATTGTTTTATTCGTATTGTAAGCTGCCTTGAGTTCTGCAGAGTAGAAAGGCAGATAATAGATGTTTTGAATAAGTAAAATTTTGGTTGCCAAGGCTGTTGCCAGCAGGTAAGATTCTCCTTTTCTTTCTCTAGTTTTAGCTTTTCTATATTGAGTTTGGATAAAGCTGGGTGGGTGAGTGTTTATGGCATTCACCCAATAGGGGCTGTAACCAGGGTTGTGGTGGGACTTCATGGTTCAACTCTCCTGCCCTGAACCGCTTACCGCTTTGCCACTGCTCCTGCTATTTAAGATTCAAGTGGCAAGTAGCAGGAATTCAGAGCAATTTGTGTGCATGTGTGTTAGCTGTCCTTAACCACTGCCCTGCAAGGAAGGTTTGCCCCCCACATTTTACCTGGAATATGGGGGAGGGGGATAAATCAGAGAGCTGGAGCTCTTGGGGGTCAGGGTGATTGCCTTGACCCGGCTTGATGTGGCAGAGTTCTCTTTCCCCTTCCTGACTGACCCTGCTCTTCTCCTAACCCCATAATCATAGCTCCCTTTTAAAGTGGCGTTGCAGCCATCCTGGTCTCCTCCTCCTCCTCCTCCTCTTTTGATGCCCTGAGGCATTTTTCCCATAGCTCTTTCGCTCCCCCTTACTCGCTCCTTCTTCTGAGTGAAGCTGTGCTCATCCTGTCTTCCAGCCGCCCCCTCAATAAGTGTCTGAGAAGGGCGCCTTCCAAACGGCCTTCTGCTTTTGGGCTCTGCCTTATTCAGCTGACCCACAGGATGGAATTCCTCACCAAAGCATAACTTTTCTTTCCTTTATGAAGAAGAAGAAGAGAAGAAGAGATTGGGTTTATACCCCACCCTTCACTACCTAAAGGTGTCTCAGAGCGGCTTACAATCTCTCCCTTCCCCTCCCCACAACAGACACCCTGTGAGGTAGGCGGGGCTGAGAGAGCTCTTGACAGAAACTGCTCTTTTTCAAGGACAGCTCTGACAGAAGTATGGCTTGCCCAAGCTGCAAGTGGAGGAGTGGGGAATCAAACCCGGCCCTCCCAGATTAGAGTCCGCGCACTTAACCACTACACCAGACTGGTTCACAAATAGGTGTTTTATTCATATGCGAGCAGAGGCTTAGACTTTTCATTTTAATCAAGGAGATCAATATGGACCAGTCCCAGCACTTTGGGTTTTTTTAAATTACGGGTGTGTTGTCTTTCTCCAGAAATGTGCTTGAGTACCTTAC